CCCCAAAACCCCAAAACCCCAAAACCCCAAAACCCCAATTTCCTAAAAATAATTGAGAAATACATTAATATGTCAGGAATCGATCAAAAAGATTCCTTACTCTTCAGTTTATTTGATTTCTTTCACTAAAGTAAGGCTATACAAATCATATAGCCATCCTGGTATGACAATCAGCCTATAGGGTGCATCTCGAGCTCTGTGTCCTATTTCATTAACTTCAAGGCTCAATATTAGGATTTACTTACTTTTCTTCTTTTCAGGTGCCTCCAAACTCTCATCGATTATCATGATCTGGTTGTCTTCTTTCTCATCCTCATCAGAGACAGAACTCTCTGACTTAATCTCCTGATCGAAGATAGAAATCTTGCTAGATTTGCTATAAATTTTATTAATTTTCCTGAATATTTTAATCAAAATAGCTGGCTTCAGAACTTACTTTGAGACATAGTCAGCATAATTGTCTCTCATCTTAGCTACATTAGCATTCTTTTCCTTCAGCTTCTTATACAGATCCATTGCTTGAGGGTTCTTGTAGAAAGACAGCTCTTCTGTCTTAGTTTCTTCACAAGTTTCCTTCGGAGATGGCTCTTTTCTTCTAAATTTAAGATAATAATAGTTGTTGAATGGAATCAAAGAATTTGATAAAAACTCACCTTTTCTGAAGCCATTTAGCTTCTTTCAGAGTTGATTCATAGTACTCTTTGGGTTCATGACTAGTGATAATCTTGGCATTAAAAAGTTCGTACTTTAAGCAAGAATTGAAACCATAGACCCAGCTTGTATTACTCATGTCTAAATTTCTAGCATAGACTCTCTTCTTAATCTTCTTAAAATGATTCTGAGGTGCGATACTGATCGTCTTCATGATTATCATGTTGGAAGAACCAGACTTTGATGGTGCCGAGTCATTCTCTCCATTGCGGTAAGACATTTCTTTGACAATGTAGTTAGGCTTCTTCCTAACAGGACTTCCAATCTTGTCATCACATTCAATTGCACTTGCTATATAAAGCCCTTCAATGAAGGTTACTAGGAAAGAGAAACACATTGATTTATTTTGCTTCTGTGATAAATAATGAGGGACTAGAAGAATCACTGGCTCGTCTTTAACATTCCTCGGATTTGTGAGATATTTAACATACTGAATGTCTCTCTTAAAGGTCTTTTCTATCTTTGCTTCTTCTTCATCTGGAGCATCTTCGAAGGTGTAAAGGCGCTCAAACAGAATGTCTTCGTTATTTTCTATCCCTGAGTTCTTCATTTTCAAGCATAACAGGGCAGAGGATGAGAACATTCCACTTGACATCCTCCTTCTCAATCTCAAAATCTTCATAAATATGACTGTATTCGCTGAAGAGGTGTTTTGTGCGGTCAATTTCCTTCCTAAAATACACAGCATCAAATTTGATCTTGAAGCTATGGAAATATTTCAGGATTTTATCAAAGATTTTCTGGGGGATGGAGGTTACTAAGGCAATCCGGAATTTGTTCAATAAGCGCTTCATGTTATCCACAACCCCATTCTTGAGGTATAAACCTTTCTTGGCTTCTGGATCAAAAAGAGGGAGAGTCAGGATTTCTCCAATAATACCCTCGAAATTTATAATTACTAATGGCATCGTCTTGAACTTTTCCCTTGGGTGGAAATACATTTTGTAGTCTGATTCATGATTAATCTTCAAGTCAGGGCCTATATATGAGAACACTGGCTTACCCATGCTTGAGTGCTTAGAGATATGGTCAAAATTCATAGTATTAGACCGCAACGATCGCTTCTAAAATGTTATTTAAATTACTTTTACCTTTGACTTAGATGATGAAGTATTATCTTCTGACAAGCTTGCCTTCTTCAACATTTTAACCCTATATTCCAAGAGAAGGTAGGACTCTTTCAGAATAAACTTTTAGAAAGATTAATAAATTTCTGAGATTATTTTATGATTTCATGCTTAGAATTATTTATCCGAAGGAAGAAAATTTCTGACTGTTTAATTCAAATTTTACAGAAACATTGAGCCCAAAGAGTCTTAAAATAACTCCTCTTAAAGGATCTGTCAAAAATAAAGCTCTTTTTAACATTTCTAAAATAAAATTGATAAAGGACCGTTCGAGGTTTTTATAATAATAATGCAGAACCTCAAAGATTTCTTGAGATTCCCTCTAAAATCTAAAACTTATGATCAACTTTTGCCTCTACATTTAGAATTTCTGAACATTCTCTAAAATTTTCGCCATAAAATCCCTCAAAAATTACTTCAAATTTCTCAAAATTGTATTTTTCGAAAACAACTTGCATCATTTCTCAATGTTCGTACCTTCTCTTTACAGGATGTAGGTCAAGAGTTGCTTTACTTTTATAAGTATAATCATAATCCTCAGGCTCTGTATTCTTCCTTTTCTTCTTCAAACAGCTCTTCAATTTATTTAGCTTTGACATCTTTTCCTACAATTTCTATATTTTATTCACGAATAGGGGTTTTGGGGTTTTGGGGTTTTGGGG